CAAAAATCGAATTTTGGCATCCTAAGAAAGTTAATTTTTTTTAAATAATCAACAAAAATAGGTCCACAGTAGTTACATCAGGTTATTTTACAAGTACAAGTCATCAAGAGCAGAGCTTCTAGACGACGTTTCAAAAACATGCCCTGTATTACCTGTGTATTTTTCTTATTTTTTAACAAAATCCATATAAAGCACAGTAACAACATAGTGCAACATACCAAAAAAAGAGAATGCTGTCTCGCCACTTCGATAAAATAGGCGTGCGTGCGCACACATTTTTGCATAATACCGTTGAATGTTGAAGTATTGAATAAGGGGTACAGAAACGAAAGACAGAACGAGAAAATAGTTGTGTATGCTGCAGTGGATGTGCACACAAGTAAATTGAAGGTGCCGCTTACGAAAGTGGCTGTGAACGATTGACTGGGCTCATGTATGGATGCACCATGCGAGAGTACTTATGTATATATGTAAATTTGTGTATTATTAGTTTTAAGGTTGGCAACAATAACTGTTATCCTACGGTGTTGGCAATCAAAAAATCAGCTATTTGCTAAGCTCAGCGTCGAACGGATAGCGCTGGCCATCTCAGGCGCACAACAACAGTAATCTTGTAGCAGCAGCAGCAGCCGTAGCCGTACAACAAAACCTGTGCCATTAGCAACATTTTACTGAACGGTTCATTCGGAATTCTTATATGTACATGGCGAAGTGGAGAGGGGAAAATATGAATATTATCCAACACACATACATATGTATATACCTGTAGATTCATCCATCTAAATATGTATACACATTGGATGAACGGGAATGCGTATTTGCGTATGCGCAAAAAATATGCAAACCATGTTGAATAGGTTGTTGTTGTAGATTTACTGGCTCTTGAGATTTTTATGAAACAAGTTGTGTTTTTTTAATTTTGCTGCATGTTGCTTTGGCCATTTGGATTCTAAAGGATGTGTTACGTACATATGTATGTATATGTACATACATACAACTATGGACAGAGATTTTGCACACTTGCATTGATCATCGTTACTTTTAAGAGAGCGATATTTTCATGAATTTGTTATTAGCAGATCAATACTGCTTCTGTCGCCTCTTTAAATGCGTGGAAAATAGCCGTTATCATTTCCCTTCAGATACCGTTAATTTGTTTTTGTTAAATTTCGTCATAAATTCTTTGGACAATGATTTAGCGCACTTATAGTTTTCGGTCATTAGTTGTGTTTGGTCCAACAAAGAATTAATCTCAGTTGTAAACTTGTATTCAATAGTTTTAGTAATATAACAAATTTTAATAAAATGGCTAGGGGGAAATACTGTTCGATTGAAAAAAGAAAAATTATTTGGGACCTTTACAAAAATGGCACAAATCAAGTTAAAATTGCTCTAATAGGGAAATGTTCAAGAAAAATGGTGTACAATGCCATCAAAAATGTTAAGAGTGATCCAAATTTGTTAAAACAAAACAAAGTTCGTAAGGCACCCCCTCGCAAAACAACCCCCGCGAGGATAAAATAATTCTTAGAAAGTGTAAAGCTGATCCTTTCAAATCCTCACGCGCGATTATGGTCGAAGTCAATGCAGAATTGGACTTAAAGGCGTCGAGTAGACTAGTATGAAGATGTTTAAAGGAAAATAATTTGTATGGACGTGTGAGCAGAAAAAACCGCTATTATCGAAAAAAAATATTAAAGTGCGTTTGTCATTCGCTCATAGCCATAGATCAAAAGATTTAAATTTTTGGAAAAGGATACTTTTTACGGACGAAACTAAAATAAACCGGATTGGTCCTGATAGTAAAACATTTGTACATAGTGAAAAAAACCAAGAAGTCAATCCAAGGTACACCAAAAAGACCGTAAAGCATGGGGGAGGAAATTTAAAAGTATGATGGTCGTTTTCATGGCGTGGAGTTGGACCCCTAGTAAACATAGAATTGAATATGGATAAATTTGCATACCTTAATATACTGAGGAATACAATGGAGCCATGTCCCTATGATATTATGCCTGTAAACTGGGTCTTTAAGCATGACAACGGTCCCAAGCATACAGCAAATCTGGTAAAAAAAAACTGGCTTGCGCAAGAAAAAATTCCACTTCTGGATTGGCCAGCGCAAAGTCCTGATCTAAATCCGATCGAGAACTTGTGGAATGATGTCAAAGAAAAAGTTGGGCAGAGAAAATTTAAAAATTGCGACGAACTTTGGGCAGGAGTGCAGGATGTCACTTTGGGCAGATGTCAAAGGTTAATAGAGAGCTTGCCACTCAGATTTGAAGCGGTGGTAACGAATAACGGTCACTCCACTAAGTATTATCAGAGAAATTTCACGCCACGTGTTAATAATATTTATTTTTCTTTGCTGAGCTTTTAAAGTGCGCTAAATACTTGTCCAAGCCAATTTTGACTTAATAATGTAAACTGAACAAAACGTTGTATTTTTATAATAGAAAAGTAAGAAATTTTGGACTACTTTAGTTTTCAGTGAGGTAACAAATAGTTTTTTTTACATTATAACGATTCTACTATATATTTAACATTATTAAGTATTATATTTCACATTAAGAAAGTGCGCTAAATCTCTGTCCATAGCTGTATATATGCCGAATTGTAGAAGTAAGTGAAGGATGCCATTACAATTGCATCCTTAACGAATTGGTCAAGAACGACATGTTTTAATTATACCGTTAAGTAGATTCACTGGTATTTATTCTAATATCCTCGAATCCACTGAAATATTTATAATTGGATATGCACTTAATTTTTGCGTGACATATTAGATCATCACCAAAGTTGATGTCTGTGTTTGTGGAGATAACAAATAATGAACTAATAATGTGCTTTTATAAAAAGCAAACCAAGCGAATAGCACGTTACTTCACACAATAAATGAATACTTGTATTTATGTGAATTTGTATAAATTCGCGTATTTCATAACATTCGGTCAATGTGAAGTTCATTGAACTTTCGTCATTTTGCGACCAGTAATATTATTTATCGAGAAATACGCTCTTGTCAAGAGTTATACATCATTTGTTCTCCTCATGGAGATAACGGAAGTATTGTTGTTAACAGAACCTTGTGTCAGCCTACAGTAACTTCGGTATTATTCAGAAGTCGGCGATGAAAATCTAAATTTGCCGTGTCTTACAATCCTACATCAGCTGGATCTTAAGCCAACATGACTGACGTTCAAGTAGTACTTGTACTAGTACAAGCTAACTGGCTGCTGATTACGTTGGCGTTAGTCGGCTATGCTTAAAATTTTAAGTATGAATATGTATTGCTAATGTTATCATTATTTTCAATATTTCTACTGCTCGTAAATTGCCTTTTGATATGTTCGGCGCTGATGTAACAGTAATTTTGATCGCATTTTTTAGTGCTGTTAATATTGAAACTTTTCCTTTGGCAATAAAACCTCAAGCACCTGTTCACGCCACATTAAGGTGAACTATTAATTCATACACATAATTTGATTTGCCCAATTTCCACATCAAACTGGAACATCATTTGTAATTTTTATCATAATGTTGCAATGCAGTTGCAAACACATTGTTGTGATATTACCGATTGCTTTTAGCTCAGTTTGAATTTGGTACACTTTAGGCTCTAAGTATATTGCCAATATAAATATAAAGAGCCATGAAAATTTATTGGTTTATGCTCGTTTAGGATTGCCTACAGAGTGGAAGCTTAAAGCCCAGCCGAGTAGATTTTCCCCATTTAAACAACACGGGAATTTACACTATACGTACACCCTAAGCATAATACTAGATTTCTTTCCTCTTTGAGTTCATCAAAGAAGATTTCTACTACATATTCCATTTTTCAGAAAATGTATCCAATGCTTTAACTGTTCTTCTTCCTGAAACTAATTCATAAAATTAAATTATACATCAATGAATTTGCCTAACTCAACTTCAATATTGTGATGGGTATTTCCCCATTTTTATAGCTTTTAAAGATTTTCCCTAACCGTTGTTAAAGTTTTGCCGTGCCCACAGAGCAATTACTTCAGAGTACAAAACAATCATACTTTTTTACTTTAACACAATTCAATTGCTGTTTTTTCAGTTCGTCTAATATACGAGCACTTAAAATTTTTCATATTTATTATGGTCTATAATTTTGTAATAGTAGCCTTGCGAATATTTCCTTGAAAATAGATACGTTTACTCTTTCTTTCGCTTAAATACTGAAACGCAATAACCATGGAAGTAAATATGTACATATACACCACACATGCATACATATGTACATACATGTTTGTATAACTAGATCCATTTGTAACGATGTTTGAGCGCTAGTCAGCGTAATAATAATAGTTACGTGATGACATGAAAAGAATACCAGCAAATGGGAGGAGCTTTCAAAAGCTTAATCCTCTCTCTGCATCTGTAAATTATATTTTTGACAGTTGATATAAGTATATAATCAGTCCTATCAAAAGTCGAAAATGGCAAGCAGATTAAACATTTTAGGAAACGAGATGTGATGACGAGAGAAATTGGTGTGAAAGGCGTTTTACTTCCAATTAGGTATAGGACCTGCACCTGTCTATAACATACATATGTACATGCAGTCCAGTCCCTCTTGCATATGTACATACGTATATATAGTGGCCACCTTCCATCGTCATTACAAATTCAGTGCAGAAAGTGCAGGTGTACATTCACTAATTGACATGTTACGTTCTTCATGTGGCATGCGGCACGCGGCATGCAGCGAAATATTTATGCTAATTAATGGTCGTTACCTCGGTAAATTACGCATGGCAAATGTAAGCGAAATGATTCTATTAGAATGTGGTATAAAAGGCAAGTAAACAACCAGGATGGACCTGTTACATACATATATGTGTATTCGTGCGGTGCCGGATTCTCTCGTCTACCTAGCTGTAATATTTGGGCCGATTAGCAAATCGCCACCGCCAACTGGCCACCGCAAAGTGTTTTATTAACTGCTGATAACAGCCGCGAGCTCATTCAAGATGATCTCGCTCTCAAGCAAAGCAACCACCAGCAACACCATTGCCAGTCATAATTCTTATCTGACCAACCACAGCTATACTCATTTAAAACATACCGTAAGCAAGTTGCAAACCATTTTGGCGCCGTACCGGGTGTTGAAGGAGATGTTACGACGTGGTGAAGCGGTTCAGCCTCCCCATACTTGTTTGTATTATTTTCGATCTTATATACGGTAAGAACTGGAAATGGAAGAGCTTGCAGGCAATGGCAGCTGTCTAATTGTTTCTATTTCTTCGCATAATTTTTACAGTTTACTTGGACTTTGGCCGGCGAAGCGCGATGCAGAGAATCAACTGTACTATTTCTATAATCTACTGATTATGGTGCTTTTTAGCTTCTTTATGGCAACAATCATTTGCGATCTATATGAGGCTAGCAGTGACTTTGTTTTATTGGGAGAGGATTTGGTGGTGGTTTTGGGTGTAAGTATACTCTTGCAGGTACCTTTACATGGGCTACGGATCGCTCCTCGTAAGCAAACCAGAGTTTATAATGCATAATATCCACAATAAAATCATATTACCACTAAGATCATTGTAGATAGCGATATTATATAAACCAGTGAACTTTTGGCAATGAAACTTACAAAAGTATTGCAGACCTACGAGAAACGTGGTAACATGGCAACAATGGTTGTTTATAGTTAGAGCGATTTTTGCTGTGTTTTTGTTTAAAGAGACGGAAGTTTTTCCGTAGTATGGTCTAGGGCGTTATTGTTTGGGTGAATACTGACTACAAAAGTGTGTAGAAGCTGGTAAAAATGTGATAAGCGACGCACGTTAATTTAATTTATGCTTTCAGCTTTATTTGATATTTTTCAAAATGATACTCTTCCGAATGGGAAACGTTGACACCGATATTATAATTAATGAATTCGATGCCCTTCATATTAAACATGGTAGGGGATTAAGTGAGAGTCCTCGAAACCGACGCATCCTTCAGTGGCGAAGAAGCTTCTTTTTCGGTGAAATATGTTTCTTCTCTGGTTTTTACATCCTCAGCCTATTGCTTTTTGCAGCTATGAGCCTACAACCGCTACTCTCACAACAAACACTTCCATTTCGATGTAAATTCCCTTTTGGATTAAATGATCCGGATGAACATCCAATAGCTTTTGTCTGCGTTTACTTTTTTCAATGTTTTTGTACACTATACATGTTAGTGGCCATTGTAGTGATGGATTCGCTAGGTGGCAACTCCTTTAACCAGACAACATTGAATTTACGCATATTGTGCGAAAATATTCGACATTTGGGAATCGTCGCTGCTGGTGCTAGCAGCTCAACTTCCGAAGCGGTTGCGTGGAGGGAGTTACGAGAGGCGGTTTTATTCCATCAAAAAATTATTGGGTATGTTCGAATCATTAATTCAAACTCTAAATATTTGTGATATTTTCTGTTTCAGTTTAATGAATCGTATCAATCAGACGTTTTATTGGAACTATGTTTCGCAAATGGGTGCCAGCACTTTCATGATATGCCTCACGGCCTTTGAAGCTCTTTTGGCGCAGGATAAGCCAATGGTCGCCATGAAATTTCAGACATACATGTTCTCCGCCTTTATGCAGCTATTATACTGGTGCTGGATGGGTAATAGGACTTATTACGATGTAAGTTGGAATGAATTTGTTACAGAGACTAAATGTTTATCTTAATATATGAATGGTTAGTCCATGGAAGTAGCTACTGTGGCCTATGAGATACGTGCATGGTATGAGCATTCCCCTCTTCTGCAGCGACAATTAATGTTCATTATTAAACGTGCTCAGAAGCCTTTGGAGTTTCGTGCAAAGCCACTTTTTGGTTTCACATTCGCGTCATTTACTAGCGTAAGGAGTGCTTGACCGATGTTATTTCGTAATGCACAACTCCTAATTTAAATGTATTTGAATATTTCCAGATCTTGAGTACATCATATTCTTACTTTGCTTTGCTGCGCACTATGAGTGATTAAAAAATATCCTCTGAGCGCAATTCATAAAAAAAAAAAATAATAATATATTAAGTTGTACAAATGAAGAGTCTATATACATATGAATATTCACTGATCCAATTAAGTACACATATTGCTAGTCTTAAAATGCTGGGCTTTACCCGTATGCCGAATATATTTCTTCATCATCAGTGGCCCACTACTACGTTGCAAATGCGCAGTTACTAACAAAATGAATAAAATTGATGGTAAAATACTAGCAATTAATAAACACCACTTTATTGGTAGAAACTGCAACAACGCAACTGTCAAATTTTCGCTGCAATGAACAGATATAGGAATTATATACTATTCTTCGAAAGTAGACATACATTTGACATTTGACTTTCCGCCTCCAATAGAGAGATATTCCTTCTTGCCGTTATTTTAATGAGTTCCATAAAGGTTACTTTAACTGGTTCAGTTCGATCGATAAAGTTATACACTTGAACGCACGAGCAGATGGTGCACTGTAAACCCGTTTAAGCTGTGCCGCAGGGATGTTATAATATGGAACATTGACGTCATACATGTTACATGAGGCGTAACAACACACAGTTATGTGGCTGGCATTGCCGCTATGATGTCCGCGAGCGATCACCGGCGCAACATTGACGGCGACAGGACACCGCAACTTGCAATACCGCACATTTAACTAGGTTGCAATTTCAGTATTCAGTTATTCAAATACTCGCTTGTATGMAACCATGGTACATTTATTTATAAGCTAGAATGGTACATCCTAACGTTTTTGATCTCACCGTGGCGGTGGGCGCAATTTCAATTCAACAAACCGTTTAACCAACATACCAACCAATAGAATAATACAGGGTATCCAAATAAGATGGGTATTTGATGATGATTTTACGCTGTCTACGCCCCGATGATTGGGTGAAGTGTGTGGTTGATGGTTATCTTAATAAATTAAGTCTGTAAATAGAATGATAATCCCTTCACCTGCCCAACTTTGGTAACTTTTTATATACCTTCAGCGACATATATAATGCAGGTTATAGTAGTATAATAATAATAATAGTAATAATAATAAAAATAATAATAATAATAATAATAATAATAATACCCAACGATTACCCTMCTCCCGCCCAACCGACGCGCGGGGCGCAATCCGCGAACGAGCGGAATTAGCCGAGTCATAAAAGGCAAGRGAGTTTTAAGCGTYGCGATCTTAAGCTGCTCAGCTACAGAAACAAAAATTTCAACAGATAAATTTAAGAATTAGATTAGAGTTTATAATTTTTAAACGTTACTTGTTAAGAGTAGATAAAATATTTTTTTTAATGGTAAAGAGAGAATCTGTTAGATCAAATGTGCTGGAATGATAATTGAAATCGTGACATATACGGTGGAATGGTTCGTTTAACTCGAAATTTGTTCTAGAAAATTTTATAAGCAAAGGTTTAAGCTGCCTGGTAGAGCGAGCGGGAATGTTAAAATTAATATCAGACAAGAGAKRTRDGCTRYRGACTGACCCATTGATGAGTTTTACAAGAAATATTATACCAAGCATTTCCCTACGACTAGCGAGTGTAGGGAGATTTATCAGTTATAAACGGTTAGTGTAAGGGTAAGATTTAAACTGGAATCCCAATGCAAATGATTTAAGGCAAAAAGTAAAATTTGTTTTTGAACGGACTCTATTTTCTCAGAATGAAGTAGACATACCACGGAAGCATACTCTAATATAGGCCTCACCAAAGATGTAAAAAGCATTTTCGTGGTAAGCGGATCTCTAAATTCTTTAGACCAACGTTTAGCAAAACTCAGAGCACCTTTAGCTTTAAAAACCATGGAAGATGTGTGAAGATTAAAATTGAGTTTGGGGTCCATGGTTACTCCCAAGTCAACAAAACTGCATACTTGCTCCAACCGTAAGTTTTGTATTACGTATGAAGTAGGGTCTACAGATCTACGTGAAAAGCACATCGTTTTACATTTTTTAAGATTCAATGGCAAGTCATTTCTATCACACCAAGAAACTAGGTTATTTAAGTCTGTTTGCAACTGACATCTTTCACTATTTGAGGTGAATTATTTAAAAAGTTTTACATCGTCAGCATATAATAAAACGTTTGAAAACTTAACAACAGATGATATGTCATTAATAAATAACAAGAACAGAATTGGACCAAGATGGCTACCTTGAGGAACACCTGAAAGAACATTGATTATGTCGGAAAGAGTATCGTTAAATATGACTTGTTGAATTCTATTACTTTATTCAAAATAATTGAGTGGTTTACTTTATAATATTATTGCAAAAATCATATGAAAAGGGGTTATTTGAATATAAGTCTGAGTAGGTTCCGATTATTTATCCCTGCCCTTGTACACTATCTTAACTGTCGTTTTTGAAACACCCTATAGATAAATGTACAACGGCAGTGGCAATTCACATTACCAGTGCGAACTGCTGACACATGTCCAGCTGAGTCCGCTGTCAGATAACTTTTAGTTCGAACGGAGCCAAGTGAACTGTCCGCTCAGAAGACTGTGGTCCAGAATCGACATTAGTAGCAACGAGCCAACCAATCAACAATTCACCATGCTTTTCGCACTCATGTAGCTGCAGCGAGCTTTTCCCGTGCTTGTTTCTATTTGGCTTAAAACATTTGTTTGGTTTGTGGTCAATTGTGGCCACAGTGATGCTCTGTATTTCTTCAGAAACGACGTTGCCATGGTCGTGGGTTTATTGAGAGCAATTGCTCCTACCACATATCTCTTGTTTTTATTTTAACCATGTTTACCGTCACCTTTGCGTAGCGAATAAGTGTGGAGTAGCTGCTAATCAGGAATGAACACACTTGAATAAATATGCCAGTGTGTTCAATTGCTTCTCTGCGATGCAGATTAAAAGTCATGGCGTGTATTTGTTATTGGTTGTAATATACTCGAATGATATTGAAAAATGCATGCATAAATAAATTATGCTGGTTTTGGCATGCCACAGTTGTTTGGTTATTATTGCCTGAGGCTTGCGATTTGTGGCTTGTGGTAGTTTGGCGGTACCCATAAACGCCGACAGAACACCTTTATAATAAATTTGCCTTGGCGGCGAGTTCGATCCACATGCTTTGACAGCTGCTGCTGGGATGAGATGCTCGTAATTCAAATTATACGAGTAGTTTGTGTATGAGTGTCATTTCAAGAGTAACTATGGGTTCTTGAATTATTTTTGAATTTTCTATATATTTTATACCGTTGTTAGGCCACTGTCAATATGAACAGTAAAACGGAAGGTTCTTATTCCTTTCCCCGTCGTACAGTAACCGTTTATTGAAAACTCCTGCCACTACCCTTTGCAATTCTTATGAATCCTGCCTGCTGAGGTAGAAGTCCACAAATTCGTCTACATCCATTCAATTTTAACTTGACCCCAATAAAATTAAATGTATAGCCGCTAACATTTGAAGTTAAATTAAAAATATTTCTCAAAAAGAAATGATGAATTTAACGAAATCAACCAAAAATTTTATATTTTGATCTGACTCAAGACTCAACAAATAAAAACGGTCTCACAGTTATCCTCTCTATTGACTCCATTAAGAAAAAATTTTCTTTTGGCTCAAAGCAAAGAGTAAAATGCGGCAAATATATTCCATTGTCTGAAAAGAATTATTCACACATACAAACAATGCTAAGAAAAGCCCACAAAGTGGAATTGCCGGGACGAAAAGCGCCGTTGTGCCACAAATCGCTGATACAGTTGTGAAATAATTACTTCGCATTTACAGCAACTCGGCAGATTGTTAATGTGTGCAACAGCAATGATGTTATTGCGACATGTGCCACCGTCATTGTTTACACTTTTATTGATGACAAATTAATATGTGGCAAAGAAATAAGAGGAAAACGCTTGAAGCTGGTCCACCGGCGTGATTGCAATACATATTATATTTATGTATATATATATAGCAAATCAGTATTTTAATATACAAATGTGCATAGATATATGTTGCAACAATATTCATATTGATGTGTTGAACACAATGAGCGCGATAGTCTTCATTTTATGCTTTTATTTGTAAAATAGCGTCAGGTTTGTTAGAGCTTTGAATAATTTTACATTTTACATATTAGTGGCATCACCACTCTTCCTCATCTCTCTACTGTCAACTCTACTGTCGTTGGCAAATATAAAGATATATTGAAGTTGGCGAGAGCGGCAACTGTCGGCCTGCAGTTGTGTAGTTGTGCAGCTGTAAAAATGACTGTGTCCATAAGAACTTGTGTATTTTACTATTTGACAGATGTCGTTTGCAGCCTGTCGCACTCATTGTGTTCAATACATGAAGCAGTAGTAGTGCCAGCGATTACTGTTGCAAATTAAATTGTCTTTAGCTCGTTTGTGCTCCCCATTGTATCTTGTATTGTACAGCTCATTCCTTTCATAAAAGATGTTATTGATCTTTTTGTTGACATTATGCTACAATATACATATGTATGTACATACATAAATGGTGATGAATAATGTAAGTAATAGCAACCACAATAACAAGAGTGAATGCTGTTGGATCAACGGAACATGTTATCGCAATAGTACTCATTTCTTAATGGTGAAAACAAGAAGAAAACTTCGAAGAAATAGAAAAGTCACAAACTATGGCAAATTCAACGAGCTGACACATTTTTTCATGAAAAGTTAAAGAACTATTGATATGTATATGTACATGTATGTTACATACATATGCACATTCAAATGTGTAATAATAAAGTATTTTATTCCATACTGAATATTAATACATATATACATCAGAAAGTACATATATGTATGTACATCACATATGTATGTATGTATAAATATGGTATAAAGTCGATCTGTCTATGGAAAGTAATGACCCGCCTTCACTCTTTTCTGGTGCCAAGAGATATTTTTACTTGGAAAAGAGGTTGTCAAAGTTTCATTGTTATACATATCTCCCTTATTGACCGATATTTTTCGTGAACAGTCAGCCATGGGCAAC